TACTATACTCTTTTAAGTGGTAATATTAGTTATAATTCTTCGTATAGTGCGTGTCACGTTAATTTTACTTTATTACACGTGTTACATTTCTTAATAACTTCTTATACTATTTTTCTGCTTTCTAGGAAGTTGTACGATCTTCTTAGCCTGCTAATCGTTTTTCTTACACCTTAATGATATCCGTGTAGTAGGTGCTCGTGTATTTCCTTAATAAGCTATTCTTAAAGTGTACTGGGAATATACTGCTGTTTATTGTATAAGAAGGTCTTGCCTTTCTTAGATAAATGCGTTTTCGTTTCCTAATTGTTTAGATAATTGTTATTATTAATGTATGATGCGATCTGATGTATTTATGTTTCATTTAGCTTAACTTGCTAGGTTATATTGATTTCTTGGGTGCCTAGTATAAGGTTCCTATCCTTAATAGCGCGTAGTAAGAGTGTATTACTTACTTACTCATTTGATTTTAAGTCCTCTCTTTAGCTAAGCGCGTTTACTCTTTTATTTTTAGATCCTTTACGGTATATGATTTTAAAGTTATAATTTGTAAGGGTTTTATACTATCTAATCTGTTATTTATTTAGATCCTTTATGGTTAAGAACGATGTGAGATTCTTATAGTTAGTATAAACCTTAATTTAATGCTTTACTTTTATAAGATAGTGTCTTTATTCTTTAAAGCACTTAATAATAGCTATAAGTACACTACTTCTAATACTCTAATTATAGTTCTAAATCGATTAGCTTAACTATTAATTCCTTTAAACCTTAATTAATTAGCTTAAGGTTTAGTTAGTTTAATTCTCTTTAATTAATATATTTAAACATTAATCTCTTTAATTGCCTCTTAAGTCACGTAGCTAATCACGTGCCCTTACCTTCTTCTTATACCTACGAGTCGTGCCTGTCCTAGCCGGTACGGTCCCGTCCCGTGTCTTATACAGTGTCGTTTGTAATAATATTACACTAATTTTTAAAATATAATGTAGTATAGTAAAACTACACTACACTACACTACACTAAAATTCACTAAAAACTACAAAACTACACTACTTCTAATGCTCTAATTATAATAGAGAAATAAACGGGTACTTAAGAAGAAAATATTCTATTATAATTAAATAATTTAATTCTTTATTAATTAATTTAAGTAATAGTTTTACTATTAAGAGTTATACTCTTAATAGCCTTATTATAATACTACTTAAGAGTTACTTTATAGTATTTAACTTAACTTACTTTCTAAGAAATAGACCTATTATACCTTAGAACTTAAGCTACCGTTACACGTAGATGCTATTTTAGTAACGATTAAGGATATTGACTAATTAAAGACATAAGATTAAAAGATACTTAAGTCACCTAAGAATATATATGGTAAATAAAGTGCCTTATATACTAGAAGTTACAAGCATATAAGTAGCTACCCTATTATAAACGATGTACTTAGCAAGTACTAGAGAAAAGTAGAGTATATACATAATAGGCACCTGCGCACACTTAAAGGGATAGGCTAACTGTCACGTGACACGGTCTATATATCTAGTTGCCCACAGGGCTCGATTAGCTTAGCTTAACAAGAAATTATTACATTACGTTACAACTAGTAGTAATTATACGTTACTAAGAAAATTTGTGTACTAAGACTAAGATTAATTTATTAGAACTAAGAGCATCTTTTTTATTTATTACCTATCTATTATTTATATCTTTAATACCTTTACTATTATAATTTATTCTTAAAATTATACGTTTAGCACGATTTCTTATTATAAACCACGTATTTATATCTTTAATTTTAGATAATTATAACTTAATTACCAATTAAATTACGTAATTATATAGTAATTACTTAGGCGTTCTAGATTTTAATTTCCCTCTCACTTAAATTAAGAGTAAACGTTTATTTTAAACGTTTTATAACAAGTGAACGTAACGGCTTAGACAGCTTAACATCCACGCGTAACCAGCCGTCCCAAGCACATCGGAATCCTTTTGAAGTGCATCAAGTGGCAGGATAAGTCGAGCGATTGCACATCTCAGCGACGCGCCAGGAAGGAGCCCCGCAGACAAGCGAGAATTACGAGGAAGGGGCGGCGTCGCACCTGCCATCTCCGCGGGAGATTCGTTTGCCGTCGTCTTTGTTGTCACGTGACACGGTCTATATATCTAGTTGCCCACAGGGCTCGATTAGCTTAGCTCAACAAGAAATCATCACATCACGTCACACTAACTCTAACTCTTAACCTTAACCCTTATACTAACCACTAACCCTAACCGCTAAACTCTTGGGGGGGAGTATTAGGTGAGTAGGGGCTAGTATCGGGTGAGCACCCGCACCTAATATCATGTCTCACGTCCCTCATTGATCTTTTCCTCAACCAGAGGCGTGAGTGGATTGAGTTGATCGCCACCCTGTCGAATGGCGTAGCTGGTCATCGCTACAGCAATGCAGCCATCTGTCCTGTGCCAAAAATTAAATATAAAAATAACAATGCACGAGTCGTTGCATTCATTCTTGAAACCACAGTAGCATGAAGTTTCCCCCTGGCTACCGTAAAATTTAATTAAACTATTAGTGGGGTGATTTACACAGCCGAATGCCTTTTATCAATGCGTTAATGCCTCTGGGATCAAGTCCGAGGAAGGCTCTCGCTAATGCCTTTGATTCCTTGCTTTTCGATACTCTGCTAGGTAAACGATGCAAGAGACATAGTTAGCTATTCGTGCAACTAACGTAATAATTGTAGGCTATAAGTCGCGCTATAACCGGAGATAAGCTAGCACATGAGGTCTGAATGGAACTTGACACTTTCGCGGCTAAAGGGATAGAGAGCCTTGTACTCAGAAAGACGAACGGCCGTTAAACGACCCTGGCTAATGCCATTTTCTTGCGAAAACCCACTTTGACCGAGGCATGAGCGGTTATGGGGCTACGTGTTCATGCACATGCTGTCATGAATAACAGCACTTGAAATACAACCCCTGAATTATTGCTAAAGAAGTCTGGTAGGCCCTAGTTGATAAGTGTCCCCTCTACGTATATTATTAAGCACTAGACTCTTTTTGTGACTAGCTATAGTTATTACACTTAGTGCTAGGGTTTTATAGATTTTATATAAAGAGAACGTAAAAGCTATTTGTATAATTATACTTTCATAAAAAATCACTTACTTTAATTGATTTAAATAAATTTATTGGAAATATTTATTATTTATATCAATTATTGACTTATTTCAAAAATATATCTTAAAATAGGCTAAATAAAGGGCATCTAATAACACTTTATTTCGGCTGTACCTAGGCCAGGGAACTGTAAGTCTTAGTCTGTAACTAACCACGTGAGACACTATAAACGCATCGTAAATTCGTAATACGTGAAATACACTAGCTAATAAGTGGTAAAGTTATTTATAATATTTTAATTGTTAGTAATTTTTATAATTCTTATAATTAATTTAAGCTTAAATAGCTTCTTTACATATTATATATTTAAATCCAAAAAGCTTATATTAAATTAAATTAATATAAGAGCTTTTAAAGCTTTTTTCTAAGAGCGAGGGTGCTTAATAATAGCGGGGATACTTTATTGCAACTGTATGTATTGTCCTATTATGTGGGATATAAAGTACAAGTAACACCGGTACACATTGTGGGCGGTACGAGCCCTAATGTACACCCTACCTACCAATCCAGCCGAAGTGACTGTATAATACGGTTAATACCCCCCCTATATGTTTCTACACGAGTGACCTGACAGGGTAGCTATAAGCAGGGGGTAGTACACTATCTATAATCCACATATTTTAAGTGGTAATATGTTAAGAACAGAGCATTAACAAGAAGACTACATTTTCATTTTTTCAAAAAGCTTAAATAATTAATAATAAATCTAATAAAATACTTGGATTATAATAATAAATACATAAAATAGCTAATATTATAACCAATT